AACGACCACCCTGCCCTAAAAGTAAGCAATAGTACTACTATCTGTGTGAATGAAACTCATACTGTGCAGTGCTTAATTCAGCCAATGTTTTGTGATCTCTGTGGGATTGAATCATCCATGGGGAGAAACAAACGTACAGAAGCATTAATGAAGGTAAAACCGTTAGGAGATGGTCATGCTTACAAGATGCACCAGGGTGAGGAAGGAGATAAGCAGGGTGAGGAAGGAGATAAGCAAGGCGAGGAAGGAGGTGGTAAAACCTGGCACCCGAATTGGTTAGGCCACGTCGACGAAGCTGTGAATGCTATGTTCATCAAAGAAATAATTGACCGTTGTAGAGACTCGTGTGTCTCATGGTGTGATATGACAAGTTTTCACTAAGGAGTACATAGCACGAACTTGTAGTATCACTCCGTGCGCTACCTGCAGCTATCCCTATATGAGGTGCAACTTTCCTGCACAACGCGCACCATTCCCGCGCTTCGCGATGTATACGCGCGCGCGCATTCCCGCACTTGAGCGCCCTATAGCGCCAGCCATCCAGATGCATCCATCCACTGTCCACCATGTTCTCTAGTGCGTATATTTCTATTTCTCTCATCTGCATATTGTTCCATCTTTATTTTTATCATGGACTCTCACCCATATATACAGTGGCTCAAAAAAGTGTCCCAATGTTTGTAGCTTTTCATGTAATTGCTATACCATGTGTCAAGACGTGGGAATATGACTAAGCTATATGGAGGTGTTGGAAAGGTCTGCTTCTCAGCTTTATTTCGGTTTCCTATACCGTGGGAAAATAATGACATTATGTGAAGATATGATCATTTTAATTTGATGACTCATTGGGACACTTTTTTGACTTTGAGTTTCACTAATGTAATCCTTAAAATTCTAGTACTTTGTGTCCTCCTTCTGCCCCAATCACTTCTGCCACTCTTCTAGACATATTCTCTATCAATTTTGGGTATTCCTCTTTGGTATTTCCATCATACTCTGCTGTAACACTGTCTCATAGTTGGAATAGCCCCTATGGTGAATCTTGATATGCTACAAGCAATTTCTTGAGTGATTCTCAGGGGTATTCAATAGGGTTGATGTCTTGGGTCTATGCTGAACATGATAGAATAGTAATATCATGGACTTTAAGCTATTTGGTAGCCAATCTAGAAGGTTGCTCTATAAGACTTAAGATCTCTTAATCACTATATTCTAATTGGAAAGGCCACTGATGCTAATAAAGTGACCAAATTGATTATTTCCATTATTTCTATGATTATCTCTACTCAAATAGTCAGACAGACTCTCAAGACAGCCCATCTTAAAGCTATAATCAAGAAAAACAGATTCTTCTGTCTCCAACCTATAAAAAGAAAAGACAAGATGCTACTTTCAAGTACAAATATTGGACTGCTAATAGCTGAAAGAGGTTTATCTAGTTAGATAAGCTTACAATCAATAGGATGAGATCATATGGCAAGGAATTTGTATTAAAATAGATAGGACAACCATTAAGATAAAGAAATTTTGAATAAACACTTAAGTTTCAAGACGAAAACTTGATGGTATAGGACTATATGAGATAAAATGGAGTGGGAATTTTCTATGAAGCAAAGGGGAGGATGAATACAGAATAGTAAATACTCATTTGAAAGGAGTGTCTGCTAAGAAGCATGCAGGAGTTATGAGTTAATGAAGAAGATACTGTTTTGTGATAAGACAATGATCCTAAGTATACCTCTAAATCAGCCACCAATAGCTTGCAGACCATGATATTACTATTCTATCATGTTCAGCATAGACCCAAGACATCAACCCTATTGAATACCCCTGAGAATCACTCAAGAAATTGCTTGTAGCATATCAAGATTCACCATAGGGGCTATTCCAACTATGAGACAGTGTTACAGCAGAGTATGATGGAAATACCAAAGAGGAATACCCAAAATTGATAGAGAATATGTCTAGAAGAGTGGCAGAAGTGATTGGGGCAGAAGGAGGACACAAAGTACTAGAATTTTAAGGATTACATTAGTGAAACTCAAAGTCAAAAAAGTGTCCCAATGAGTCATCAAATTAAAATGATCATATCTTCACATAATGTCATTATTTTCCCACGGTATAGGAAACCGAAATAAAGCTGAGAAGCAGACCTTTCCAACACCTCCATATAGCTTAGTCATATTCCCACGTCTTGACACATGGTATAGCAATTACATGAAAAGCTACAAACATTGGGACACTTTTTTGAGCCACTGTATCTTACATACCTACTCGGTAGCGCTTCGGCTCTGCATGACCGCGCTTAGGTGCGCTATATAAGTGCCAGCAGTACATACTACACGGAAGTTTTCCACTTACTTTCCACTGAACTTTCACCTCTCACTTTACCTAGTACTTACTACCTAGAAAGTCGCAATAGAACTCTATTCCTTTACATCTCACACTCTCACATCTCTTGCATCATATTATCACTTGAGTCTAGTCTATCTATCATTTCCGCATACACGCGCGCGCTTTCCCGTGCTTTGCGCTAATATGCACGTGCATTCCCGCGCCTTCGTACCTTGCGCGCACCTGCGCTTTCTCGCGCTTCACTTCGGCGCGTACCTCTAGATCTTCGCTGCACTTGCTTCCCCTTAAGGGTCGAACGCGCTTGCCACCTCAAGCATAGCAGACTAGGCAATGCACAACCTACAACATTTTTTAGATACAGTTTGGAGCATCATTTGTTCCTCTCTGTATTGTTGTTTCTACACCATGTCTATAACAATGAGAAGGTGAGCCCCCAAAGTCTGTAGAGTTCCTGCTCACATATTTTCTCAGTGTCGCCGTGAAAGTCCAAACCTAAAGGCCGAGGTACCTGACGAAGACTTCAATATGCAAGTCATTATGCAGTGCACGAAGGATTATTTTCGCAACATACACAAGCAGGCAATGTGCTGTAGCGACACATCGAAAGCTCAAAAGGCTGAACAGAAGAAGGAACATGGACGTCAAAGGGCATGTCGTGCAGCAGTAAGTATTGTGTTTTGTGTGTGAAACATATGACATACCCAAATCACCAGGTTACAAAGAGCCGTCGTGCAACTGCAGTTATCTATGAGAAAGAGACAGGGAGGGAGGGTGCAGTTGCGATGATTGATACTGATTTTGCATCGGACATTTTGTCTTACTCAGAAGATGACTTGAGTGAAGACACATTAACCAGGCGGACAAAGTCAGGAGCAGGGAACTCGGCAAATATGGTTGTAGGATTAGAGTGGCGATCCAGCGATGTAAGTCCTTCGTGTCTAGGCACGGTTATAGCTCACTAAATATAAATCAGTATGTTGCATTTTTGTGCTTCCTCACTTTGTGTTAAGGTCGTACTCTCATAGGATCGGATCCGAAGGACTTCGGCCTCAGCTCGTACGCTGTGCCCCTTTCCCAAGTACTGTCCCTTATTTCAAAGTACTAACGATAACGCGTCCGAAGGTCTGGACGGGTCTCGTAGTATATCCGGATGTCTTCCGGATATCGGAAACGTATATAAGACTAATCCGGACGTATCCGAACTAGAAACTAACAGAGTAAGACTGCCCGAAGGTAGAGCCGAGGATATAGACTATCGGAATCTATCCGAAGTCTCGGAGGGTGACAAGAGTAAGAAGGACTCAAGTCCGGATGACAGAAAGAGGACAAACTAAGATGATATTCGAACTGAGGTACTACAGGACATATACACGAGTTTATATACTATGAGGATAACGGAAGTATCAGTAAGCAAAGGTCCGAGGCTATGTACGAAGCATGTGCAAAGGTTATCAAACGCGAGTCGGAAATGAGACATAGGTTAATGGATCAGTAATCATACCGGTAATAAGTATAACCGAAACACCGGGAAGAGGAAATACCGAATAGGCTGTGTTTAACGTTATATGAACAGGAAATGAATTAGAAAGCTTATCGTAAATCGGATCGGACCGGATCGGATCTCAGGGTCCAAAGTCCGGAAGAGAAGCGTGAATATATGGGATATGACACTTTGCGACAAATGAGAGGGAACAACAAAGCTACCACTGCGGACACTGACAAAATAAACACCATTCAGCCTCCAAAAAAGTGTCGCAAAACTGCAGAAGGGGGCACTAGGTCAAAGAGAATTGTGAAAAAGACGTTTGACATCAGCCCAGAGCAAATGAATGAGGACGCACCGTCATCTGCCAAAAAGAATTTGCCATTTGAAAACATGGTTGCGGACAGCTGGAAGAATAGCCATCCGGACATGGAGATGCTTGAGGGAGTTCCATGGCTCAAGGGATTCTGGGCTTCATTGACAAGAGATGATCTGATAAAGGAGGACTACGAGTATTTGGAAGAGCTGGAGGAGTGGCACAAACAAAAGGGTGATGAAGGTGATGAGAGCGGCGACCAGTGAATTATCTTGAACAGTACTGTGAGTGGGTCAGCGCAATTCAAATCATGAAGTGCCAGCTCGTTACTTGTACCATAAGCCTGTCATGTGTCAGTGTCGATGACTGAGATTCAATCAATAGTTGTCAAGTAAGTTGTGATGAACGGAGCACATACCTTTAAGATCAATCGTTGCCCAAACTTTTGTTCTGTCCTTTCCAATTGATACTGTGGTCATCCCCAGGTGACCAACGATCCAGTCGGGGTTGATAAGGGATGGAAGTTGGGTCTCTTGGCTCTTATACTCTCTCAGTTGCCATAGGCGGACATCGGCTGAATAGCTGGGTAGAAGAATATTAATATTTGTCCTGTGAGATATGGCATCCAACTCACAAATCATCCCAAAATTTTTCACGCTCTCCCCTCCAATGTACGAACCAGCGCATGCGGGCAAACCAGAGTGAGTCATCCACATTACGAAACCTTTGATTAAACTGAAAGATTTCGAGAACCTTGCCATAAGCATGAATCACAGTTGTACCGGGGATGATGACATGAACGAGAGAAGAACGGTTTGTTCTAACAGCTCTAGAAGCATAGTAGCGCTTACTATCAATCACGACATAGTCAAAAAAGACTGCATCACGATCAAGTGGGAGGCTATGAGGTACGACGGCATGGTCAAAACGACAATGAACTGGAGTCAAAGGAAAATGATAGCAGAGGGTGGATGCGAGTAGTCGATATGTCTCAGTGGACATTCCTTGCTTTCGGTGTCGAGGACTAAGTGAATAAGCCAGACCAGCTAAATATGTTTTCTGAGATGGTCGTCATAACAAAATGTAAGAGAACTCAACATACCGTCTGCACCAGCATCATCAAGGTCTTTTGACAATGCTGCAAGTCCAGCCACTGTTCCCCTCTCATCGTTGGAGGCCTTCAGCATGATTGATGCTGTCTGACTTGGAAGGGAATCCTTAGGATAATGCTGTAATGTGTACGTCTATGGATATTGTTACTAGTTGAGATGCACATTAGAGATTCAACAACTTACCAGTCGTCCGAGCTCACAAGTCCTGTGAAACTCCATGAAAAAGGTCGTTTCAAGTGCACTGTTTGAATGGTTGTTGGTCTTGTACGATTTCAACAACTTGTTGAGGCGCTCGAACAGGAAAGTCCAGAAATCGTGGAGAGGGCCAAAATTGTGCACACAAGCACCAACATGGGTCACAAAGTGATGGTTAGGTTTGACCGAGCCAGAACCATACAGCTTGTAGTAAAAGCATGTCAGTAAATGTCAGTCAAGTGAGGAAGACTTACATGTATTAGCTCGGTGGTGTATTCAAAGATGAGTTGCTCGGCTCGGCTTACATCCTGATCACATAGTGAACGCTTGCTCAAAATGCGCAGTGCTGCACATAGCTTTAAGAAATTAGCTGGATCATCAGGGTGCAGTAAGAATTTTGCTTCTTCTTCGCCAGCTGCATCTGCAGCAGGCTCTGTTAGCAGCTCAGATGTAGGAAGGAGACACGGTGGTGGTGGTGGTGGTGGTGGCCGTACTTGTCCTTCAGGAAGATCTTCGATGATCTGTGAGGTTGCCTGGCGCTTTTTTGAGGCCTAATCATAATTGTAAGCGGGTTGATAACAGTGAACACGGTATTACCTTCTTGGCTGCAGCCTTCGCTTTCTTTTCAGCTGCAATTCTAACCTTTTCAGCCTGTTTGGCAGCTGCAAGTCGGAGCTTTTCCTGTTTCTTCATCTCTGACAGTGCAAGCTTCTCATGGGCAATCCGGGCCTTTTCAGCTTCGAGTGCTTCCTTTCCTTGCTTTTTGGCTGCAGCAAGGGTGGCTTTCTGCTCAGCCTTGGACTTCGCATCTGCCTCCTTATCAGCCTTGGCCTTCTTAATCATGGTGACACATTGACACAGAATCCCGTCATCCATGTCTGTCGGAAGACAAGAGCTCCATAACTGCGGGATCTAATTAGAACATAGGTAGTTCAGTGAGTCAAGAACCGATCAAACTATCAGAAGTATATACTATGATTGGACCATAGACAGTGGCGAGAAGCAGCCATTGGTCCGCTGTTAGTGAACCACCTGATGGCATACTGATGTCCATTGGTAATTTGCCACATGAACCCGGGACAATAAACTGCAAATTTGATTGATTGTTAGTGTTGGATGTACACATGAGATCTAGCCTCACATCAGCAAGCATGTCATGGAAGATGTCGAGCTCATGATTAGCACGAAGAATCTTTCCCTGGACCCATATGTTGTAAAAATGGGTCTTAACAAGGCCTGAATCAAGCATAATCAGCACCAGATTAATAGTAGGAAGCTATGATACTCACCAAGGTAAAGATTGTGCATTGGGTCGATGACAATCTGTTCGACGAGGTTGAAGTATGGTAGACGTGATAGCTGCATGTATCGAGTAGCGTGTTCCTTTACGAAGTTCTTGCGAGCAGATGTAGTAGTCAGCCTGCGGTAGCGCTTGCCAAGTTCTCGCTGTTCTTCATTTGTCCGTGGCCAAAAAGCTGAACAACATTAATGGACGATAGTCATGTATGATAATGCAAACATACCTCCTTGTTGAAATGCCTGTAGTTTATCTTTATGTGCGATCGTTATCCAACATACAGTACAAAAATTAGTATGGGAGTGAGATGCGAATCCACCCAGCTTGTGCGCAGCTGGTTTATCGCAAACAACTGCAACCAAAATCACACGAACAAGGCATCCTAGCAAAATGAGTCGACACTAACAGATGATAAGTAACCAGACTTACCTTGCGGACAAGATTCAGTTGGAATTTTGATTCCAACTCTCCATAGACGTAGTAAATCTGATATGATGGGCTGTAAGAATCGTTGGATCTGGTCAGGATTCTGCTCCTTCGGCCCAGGGAGGATACTTGTACACATCAGATTAGATGTGTGATAGTTTGTAAACGAATAACATCAAAAGATATCAACCTATCGGGTGTGAACAAGGCTTACCGATATTCTGGTGGTAGATTACATATTGAGAATGATGTGGGAGCTGATGAGTGTGACGGTGTGATATTACTTCTGATATACGAAAACCTGGCAATGGAAATTCGCATGAGCAGCGAAATATCAACAAGGAGATAAAAAAACATACCAATCAGCTCCAAGGTTCACTCCGATGCGTAGTTCACCATCTGGGCCATGTTGCTCGTGAGGGAGATTCAAAAAGAAGAGTTTACCATCAGGACCCTTGAGTTTTGTGCGACATGTGTCACCATCAAAGATATCAGTATATTTACCAATTGTGCGAGGTTTACTGCGCCAACCATCAAGCACAGCCTCAAGACCAGGAATTTTGAGAAGAGATTTGATCTGTTCGGATAGAGGAAGGTATGGATACTTGATGATGGGCGTTTTGACAGCGCGTAAGTTCCCCCGTTGTGTTGTACCAGGAAGAAAGATGTCGACCCCACAATTTTTGCATGTATCGTGTGATTTTGTCGACATTGCAGGAGGAAATACATCACGGCATGTAGGGCAAACAGGGAGTGTGAAAATGGTAGTGTCGACACCAAGGACACGATTACTGGACTGCAGTGTTACGAAAGGGACATCGATAGTTGGTGCAAGAGCAACGAGGATGCAGGCAAATATCGTTAATAATGCATTGCAAGCCACGCGAGGGAGGTGGAATTGGAGGTGCAGCCAAGAGACAACCGCATAGATAGTGAGTAAGTGTGGGGGAACATCAGCGAGGTTCCGATCATTTGTCGCACTAAAGCCTTCATCAGGTATGAACGGATCAGGGTCGTCTTCGTTGATATCATTGGTGGTTGCTGTCTCCATATCTTCTTCCTTGTCTGGATCATCAAAATGTGCATCAACGTCAATGTCGAGATGATCTAGATTATCCTCAGCTTCTTGCAGAAGCTGATTCTCTTTGCGCTGTAGCTCCTCAACAGCCTTTTCAATCTGTCGATCTAATGCGCGCTGTTCCGGATCAGGTGGGAGGTGATGGGCATCGTATGAGGTGAGGGGCCGTGAGCCTGAACTTGTAGCTGTATTATATGCACTGAAGTGGTCAACAGCATCGTGTAGCGCCTCAGGGCTATGGAAGTTCGGACCAAGATTAGGCAGATCAGTACCATAGGTCATGAGATCTAGGTCTTCTCCAGTAAGAAAATCGTAGTCTAGCATCTCCTGTTCAACAGGAGATTCAGAAATGCGACGAGGATCCTGGAATGTGACGTCCGGCGATAATGGGGGCTGTAGTTCATGTAAAGGAATGGCGAACCCATGAGGAACGGGGCCTGCATCTTGAATAGCGGTAGGAACGATGTGTTCTCCAACACGCTTGTAGTGGGCTTGTGACACGTTGGTTTTCGAACGGAGTTCGCTTCGTTCGTGAGCACGAGCTATATGTTCTTGAACAAGTGCTCCGTTGCACTTGTGCTTCTGGCAATGACATCTTCGATAACGCGCTGTAGGGATTCATTTCTGGCTGGGCTGGTAGAGACTGTTTTTACCTTACCTTATGTTGGCACTTTTGTAGCTTACATAATCAAGCAATCTTTTCACCAGTTACCAGTATGAGTCTGAGTGCTCAGCAGTTTTCTATGATATTTCCTCTCCTCTGAGCCTTAAGCCTGGTCCAGAAACCCTTTAGGGTCGAATAGCAGCTAGGTTCTGCAAGACCCAACACATTGTTCAGACTCACCATCTGAATTGTTGTACCTTCAGCGCTTTCTTGAGGCCTGCAGACGACATGGTGAAGTCAAAGCTTGTTGACGCGTGCTTTTGACGCGTCAAAGCAAGCGTCACGTGTTGTTATACTTACAACTCGAAGACATGTAGTAGTTCACGATAATAATTTGATTCCGGTAAATGTTCTACTACACGGCGGTCTTGTGAAGCTTTGAGGTAGTTTCAGCTCTCTTTACATCCTTCAAATCCTTCAAACTGACTCCTGTCGCACCCATAGGCTTGATGCAAGTCTAGTTGGGTTAAATACATGTTAGTTATCATAGAAAACGAGGGAAGCATACATTAAAGACTGGTTGCACTTTGGTAGTATCTTCGGGTTCAGACTCAGGCTCCGTCTCGCTATCGTCAGGTGCAGGTAGTGGTGCTAGCGCTGGCCATTTGAGCGAAGGCCTGATGGATACCTTGAGTGTCTGCAGACATACATGTTAGTTGAATATACAAATTTTAGTCAACTTACTACAGGCCCAGGTTCGTCGCTCTCAAAGGTGAAGGTAAATCTCCTAGTGCCCGAAGGCAGTTGCAGCTGAACCACATTTTGACCTTGCATGTCAGTTCTTGCTGAAGAGACTTGGCAAGAAAAAATGAATGAGCTCACCTCACATAAACCCAGAGGTCGGGTTTTGGAAATTTTCTCTTTCCAGAGGGCGGATGTCGTTGAGTTATGAGGATTAACATGGTGGAGATGATGGTGAAAATTTAGGTCTGTATTTGGTCGAGTTAGGGTTGTTCACTTCTAACCCGAGGTTTGGATTGCATCCGTTTACGTGTTCTTGCAACTCCCAGACGCTCGACTTCCGTCCACGTCGAGTTTAAGTCTGGAAAAGGTCTTACGTCTGTACCACGTCGGGTTATGCACCTAAACACCCTCTGGTTACGTTAGTGTTAATTTCTCGTTTCCGCAGTGATTATAGTACTACAGTCGAAGCCTTATCCCATACTTGTCGGTCATGGCTCCAAGCTATGGGTTATGAGAGAGTATGGCCTTCGAGGATGTCATTAAAAATAGCTCAATTATGTAAAATTCTCGCACTGACTGAGGCATTTGGAATACATTGGTTTTTCCTCCTACCAAAGCATTTCCTTTGCTCATTCAAGCATGTTTCATCGAGTCTCGTGTCCATTACACTTTATGCTGTCATGTCCTGTACTTTGTCTCTCTGTTTGCAATAAAATCTCAACAAGTCCCTGGTCTGCCACCCAGCATGGAGTTGGGGGACTCCGCTTATCTAATCACTGTGAGACTTTAGCATATTAGATTGATTCAGTCATCTTAAATACTACTTGATCTCAAAATCACAAAAATTCAGAAAAAAAAACAAGTTATTTTATAAGTGCATTATAACCAAGTAGAGTTTAAGAGCAAACAAAATTAACTAAAAAGTTGCAACCAAACCTCGAATCTTTGTGTCAAAAGCCTGGCTGGTGGACAATAGCAAGAAAAAAGGACCAAAAGTTTGAGAACTTTCAGGCCTTTTTGAGGACTTCAAGTGGCTTTAATGGCATGGTTTGTTTTGACTTGGTGGGCAAGAAAATTTATACAGTGCTTGTGGCGCATTAGCGCTGTAGGGATTCATTTCTGGTTGGGCTTGTAGAGACTGTTTTTACCTTACCTTATGTTGGCACTTTTGTAGCTTACATAATCAATCAATCTTTTCACCAGTTAGCAGTATGAGTCTGAGTGCTGAGCAAGTTTCTATGATATTTCCTCTCCTCTGAGCCTTAAGCCTAGTCCAGAAACCCTTTAGGGTCGAATAGCAGCTAGGTTCTGCAAGACCCAACATTGTTCAGACTCACCATCTGAATTGTTGTACCTTCAGCGCTCTAAAAAATTAGGGTTTGGCAACAAATGTACCAAAAATACACTAGTAATTGTATGGGTTTTATGTCACGAAGGGTATGGATTATGGAGTATTAGAGGGTTATGGGTTGAAATCCCCCGCATTCCAACTTGGTAACTTGAAAAACCTATGGAGTATATGGGAGTATGGGTTACCAGGGCTATGGGATAAGAGGGCTTCGACTGTACACCGCACAGTGAAGAAAAAATTTGTCCCCAACTCCATGAATGTGGAAGACTCTGGGTTCTGTCAGACGCAGATAATCAATCCTCTGCAAATGCACCCATGGGAAAAGTTGTGAGCACTAGCCAGTGGCTACCGCTGTGGACATTCTTTCGTTCCATTAACCTGTGGTAGTCATTGACTGAGCATGAACAGGCATGTGTAAGTTTATTTCCATCTCGACTCACTGTTTCGTATAACTCATGCATGTTTAGGGTTTTTCTTACAAATCACCCTGCTGTTTGGCTCACGTTCTCGATGAAGGACACTGTCCTTCTTTCAATGAGCCCCATGATGTGAAGCACTATCCTCATTATTATATGGATCTGCTGTGGTGGACCAGCTTGGTTAACAAATCCTTTCTCAGCTCAACCAACATGACTTGATGTGACGCGAACATAAAATTGAGTTGGCGATTGAAGCTCAGAACCTTAATGCTATGCGCCGGCATTTTCGAAAGAGGTTATGTTTTGCTGCTCTATTGAAGGATGACCATGCTCCCTGTTTTGCACTTGCAAACAACTTGTGGCAAATTTTCGACATATTTCGACGACCTTACTTGGGTTGAAGAGAAAATCTGTGCAATCGTGATATACAGTACCACTGCTCATGTCACGCGCTTATTCCAGTCGTCGGATCCGTTGTAGAAACAACAATACAGAGAGGAACAAATGATGCTCCAGACTGTATCTATAAATGTTGAAGGTCATGTGTTTGCCTAGTCTGCTATGCTTGAGATGACAAGTGCATTCGACCCTAAAGGGGAAGTGAGTGCAGCAAGGATCTCAAGGTGTGCGCCAAAGCGAAGCACGAGAAAGTGCAGGTGCGCGCAAGGCGTGGGAACACGCGCGTGTATGCAGAAATAAGAGAGACTAAACTTAAGTGATGATATGATACAATGTAAGAGAAGAGACTGCAAAGTGTAAACAAATAGATTTCTACTATATTCTGCTAAGTAGTAAGTGAGTAGTCAGTAGTCAGTTGAAGGAAAAGTAAGTGGTAAAAAATGTAAAGTGAGTAGTACTATGTACTGCTGGCGCTTATATAGCGCGCCTAAGCGCGGTCATGCGGAGCCGAAGCGCTACCGAGTAGGTATGTAAAGATATATATAAGTAAGGGTCCATTATAAAAATAGAGGTGGAATGATATGCTAATAAAAGAAATGGAAATATATGCACTAGAGGGCTTGGTGGACAGTGGATGGATGCTTCTGGATGGCTGGCGCTATAGGGCACTCAAGCGCGGGAACGCGTGCGCGTGCATACATTGTGAAGCACGGGAAAGCTGCGCCTCATAGTGGAATATCTGTGGATAGCACACAGAGTGATGCTGCAAGTTTGTGCTATGTACTCCTAGTGTAATGCGCCATATCACACCATGAGAGGCATGAGTCTCTACAACGCGCACGCACGTATACATTGCGAAGCACGGGAATGGTGCGCGCATGGCGCGCGTTGCGCGGGAAAGTTGCGCCTCATATAGGGATAGCTGCGGGTAGCGCACGGAGTGACACTACAAGTTTGTGCTATGTACTCCTTGGTGGAAACTGCCATATCACGCCATGAGAGGCATGATTCTCTACACCGTTGCAGCCAAAAGTCTTTCACAGTAATATTTGCACTCATGATATGAATGTCGTGTTGACTGCTTCTGTGTTGCCTTGGACTTCTGCAGATGTCAATGGATTTTCCAGCATTGTCTTCGTTGGTCCTGGTAAATTCAAGCCTGAACAAATGGGACCCATGTTTTGAGTGCGGAAGAATAAAATTTATTCATTTCTTCTGGTTGAAGCATCACAATTGTCTGTATTCTGATATCCTACTTGAACCAAACAATCTAATGCTTTCTCTCAGTGATGATGTGTTGCCTGGATAATCTGATCGTGTAGTTGAAAATAACGAGCTTGATGTCTAGAGAGTTTTTGAAGAGGAAACAGCTGGATTTCAGGAGCACCCAGTGGAGCTTCTGTTAGATGTCGAGTCCCAATATTCTGGTGTGACAATGCTTGAGAAAGTGAGTGTCTCCGATCCAGGGTGTGATAACATCAATGGACACACATTCATGGCTGCTGCGCTCAGGAACCTGGTTTCTGCACATTTGACGCTGCCAAATCATATCTTGCCTTGATGTCTTTATGCGGAGTCAGGGTTCTGGCACGACCTAGCGCCGCTATGAGATTTCATTTTGCAAAATGTGTTTGAGCTCTACCCACCTTACTAGTAACTCCCTTTGATGTGCCGGAGGGCGAAAAGTATAATTAGATGGAGCCAGCACTACAGGAGATGCTTTCTCTCAAGGGCCTATTTCTCTATGCCATTACATTCTGTCACTATCACCAATTGCCCCATTCGTGTTCAGTAAAAGCATTTCTTACAAAATCAGCTTCCTCCTTTGTTCCCACCACCTCTCTATCACTTCGTCCAGTTCCAATAAACACCTATCTTCAAGCCTGAGGTACTCATTAGGATGAGTGGTGACAAGCTTTTCATCGAAGTCTCAAAGAAGGCAGATGTTTTCTCGTCCATGACCTTGTGACAGTGCAACATACACATTGAATGGTGTAAGTTCTCCACTTGGTGGTTGTGCAATATCAACAATTGTGTTGCTGATTAATTGTTTGACCTTGTGATTGGTAGTCCATAAACGCATATGCTGGTGCTAATGGCAGTTGCATCCGCGTCACAACTTCTTCATGGCGACCAATCATAGTACGAAATGTCCATTGCATGAGGACCAATGGCAGAATACCAGAATCCAGATTCTCCAGGCTTTGGCTTTGGTATGGTTCAACTTGATGAGAACATATGCTGAGGATAGCGCAACTCTACAACAGCATTTTCTCGATGAAAAGTTCGACTTGTGCTCGTCCAACACAATTTCCACTACTTCTCCTCTTGCCCATTTGCAACATCCAGATCAGTTTCGATGTTAAAGGTGACCATCACCTTCATGCCCACTGCCAGCTCAACCATGTTTGGTAGTGATGCACATTCATCCTGTTTTGTTTGTTTCCCTGTCTGCTTCATAGCCACTGCAAATCTTTCAGCCAGTGTAAGTTGCTGTCCTTGCACTGTGTCCATTGCTCAGCATATAATAAGTTGATAGAAACGAGCTCACACATCTGGTAAGTCCAACTTTCAAATTTGCATGTCTCTCACATCCATCTCAACCTTTACTCAGAAACCATCTAAAGACCACACTTGTTCTACAGTGGCTCAAAAAAGTGTCCCAATGTTTGTAGGTTTTCATGTAATTGTGTTATTGCGAGCCAGGGTGTGAGAATCTGACTAAGTCAAAGGGAGGTCCCAAAAAGCTCCGCTTCTCGGCTACAATTATGTCCCCTATAGCGTGAGAATCCATTGACGCCGTGCGAAGATATGGCTATTTTAATTAGGTGACTCATTGGGACACTTTTTTGAGTTTCTATTAAAATATGAAAATCAGATCATTTAGACATGACACCATTTACAAATATATATATAAATGGTCCCATATTGACAATATGGTCTCATTTTAATATCCTGTACATATATAAACCCTTCCAATAACATCATGTCCCTCATAATCAGCATGAAGTCTATTTCCTCTTCTCAAAGAGATAATATCCTTTTTCTCTCCACCTCTGGTCTATCTATCAGGCAGATTGCCTCCAAAAACTTAGTCAGATTCTCACACCTTGGCTCGCAATAACACAATTACATGAAAACATACAAACATTGGGACACTTTTTTGAGCCACTGTATACATTAATATGTTATACTACGATAACACAATTTGCATCACCTTTTTGAACATCACTCCACTGGCTCGTCCCTCTCCAAAGTACTAGTATGGTTTCATGTAGTGTGCCACCAATGATGTACAACTAGTATACCACATGTTCAATGAATGTCGATAACTATCATGATAGTACACAACGTTCACATTCAAATTTGAGCCAGTGGGACAAGGTTCCTGCCGGCGAAGCTCGGCCCTTTCTAGTATTGTAAATACCTGGCATAATTTGTAAACTTTCTCATCTACCAACTGCTGCAAAGTTCAAATCAGTACACTACAATGCCCATGATGTACACCTTACAGAGTGCTACAGTGCCACAGCCTGGTCCCTTCTGTACAGCAAAAACCTTCCAGTGACACCTTAAATAGATCAGAACAAAGTCGCATTTTTGGCATATTAAAATGCTAGACGCAGGAGTTGAACTTGGGACTGCACAAAGAGAATTATGGTGTCAGACCATGCTTTTGGTTTAGCACCACGTGGCACCCTGACTATGTCGCAAATTTCCGAAATCGATTGTAATCGGTATCAATTGATATAATGTTACAATGACGTTTGAACCTTCATGTAAGCTCTATAGCGGGGTTTCAACTCATTACAACGCGCTTACAATCCGATTAATATCCTTCAAGTTCCCCTTTACCGTGTTCTCAAGTATTTCCCCCATCTTTCTGTTTAAACTGTCCCTATACATATATATTACATCTTAGTCCACAGCATGGGCCCCGAACGCACGAAATTTTGCGATCTGTGTCAACAGGACCTCAAATCGCGTGGTTGGACCACTCATCGCAAGGCCTGTGAGAAGAAGGCTGAGAAACAGCGCCAGAATCGACTTGTCGCGGAATCCATTCGAAGGGAAGATTCAGATGCAGCAGCAGGTACGCATGAGTTTAACTCATTTGTCTGCTTTTTCTACTTAAATTCACTCATAGGTTCTTCGAGACGTCCACGTGCAAGCGTCGTCGATGATCATACCGATAAAGTCATGGGAAAGACGCGTAAGTATTTCGTTTACATATTTTTGTTATTATTCTCACATTGAAACAGGACAGCACGATGTCTCACCAGCTTGGAATGAGATGGATGACAACATGGGGCACATTGGTAAGTCTTTGTTTGATTTGTTATAATATATTTACAAATTACTGGTCACAGATCCTTTTCCTGATACCGACATCCCTGAACGTGCTGAGACTATGTTCCAGCTCGACGACATTAAGTGCGAGTACCACCCAAGCAGTGGGATCCCACCTGAGGTCCACGCTTTTCACACTTTCAAACGGCGTCCAATGCCATCGACACCCTCTGTCCCACCTGACAAGCACCCCTGGACTCCGTTCAAATCGCGACTGGAGTTCGAACTTGCTGAACTTGCCCTGGAGGCTTGCTTGAACAATGAGCAGACTGATCGGCTCATAAAACTTTGCAACCGGTGCACTTCCCGACAGGAGAAGTTCACGTTCCAGACTCACAAGGACATCCACGACAGATGGGACACTACTTCACATCGTATTACAGGGGTTGTTTTCTTTTTCTCTCTCTGATGTTTGACTTCTGACATTTCTCAAGTTTAGTTTACTCAAGACATAATTTCAGTACCGTATGACGGTACCGTGCGAGAGTTCGAGCTGCACTATCGTAATCTCTGGGAGTGGGCTACCGACCTCCTTCGCGATCCTCAGCTTTTTCCACACATGGTATTTGATGCGCAGCGCTTCTCAAAGTTTGATGGCAAGACATTTGTAAATTTCTTAGATGAACCTTACACTGCTGAAGCTTTTTGGAACATTCAAGTATGTAATATCGCTGTAGATATTCTCGGTTCGCCTTCATTATTTGATGTATTGTTTTCCCTCATAGTCTCAGCTACCAGAGGGCGCCAAACCCCTGGCTTTTATTCTGTACGCCGACAAAACCAAGTTGTCCTCATTTGGTACTGCAAGAGGTTACCCTGTTGTCGCACGTCTCGCGAATCTTCCCACTGACATTCGTAACGGTGAAGGTATAGGTGGCGGGCTACATTGTTGGGTGGCTTCCGATTGTATGGAATATGTTGTTAGTTAGTTGTCAACACTGATTGTACTTCTAGGTGAAGGAGGAAAAGGACCACACTGGCAAGCCTGAGCTGGGTCAATTTCAAGAACGCCGTTTGGCACGAGGCATTCTTGAAGATTCTCTCTCCGCTAGCATCAAAATCTAGCACAGGTCAATGGTTTGAATGCCTTGACAGCATTCAACGCTGGTTCTTTCCTTCAATCTTAATTTTATCAGCTGATTATGAGGAACAGTGAGTGTATTTGACTCGCATCATTATCTGTGTGTGTTACTAATGAGTTACTTGTTTTTGAATTATTAGATGCATTATGTCATTGACTCAAGGGATTAAATCCCTGTGGTCATGCCCAGTTTGTCTCATCCCTCATGTTGACCTTCTAGATACTTTGAAGACCTATCCTAGTTGAACTTCCAATCAGTCACAGAATATCTTGCGGGCCGCATGGGACAAGGATACCACTAAAGAGAGAGACAACACACTCAAACAATATGGACTTCGTGATGTCCAGGTAAGGTTTCTGCTATCTATACTGCTGATGTTTTATTGCTGACACAACCATGTTATTAGAACACTTTCTGGAGTGTTGCGCTCACTTGCATACATCAGGCACTCTCTTGGGATAGGCTCCATTTCAACAGTGGCCTGTATTGCAATCATCTGTGGGCTGAATTGCAAAAAATAATCGCTAGTCTTGGGAGAGCAAAAGTAGCTCAGATGCACAAGCAAGTCGATGACTTGCAATTGAACGACCTCATTTTAATTTTTGTGTTAGTTACAAGGTGTTTCCTTGCTTGTGAAATCTGAAGCATTTAGCACAAGTCATGAGCATTTCCTTTACTGATGTAGTGTATACAAAGACATTTCAAAGGCATATTTTCTAGTCTAAGATTTATAGATTCTTATTAGTGAGTTGAGTCTGATGGTCATTCTCTTAGATGGTGATCTTTGCTGCACATGCCATCGTGACTGAGGATGAGTGTCCGCTCAGGTACCTCTTACTTCGTTGTATCCAACTTTTCCTTGAAGTTGATATGTATGCAGTGCTCGAGGTTCACATGACTGATACTATCTGTGCAGGCCAGCATGCAGTTCAAGCATTCTCAACCTATCTACAGGTGCATTTTCTTGACTTTTCCCTGAAAATCATTCATTAATGAATCCTATTATAATAGCAATACATAACTAAAACAGCCGACGAGAGCGACAAGAACTGGAACTTCCCCAAGCTGCACATGAGTGTGCATATCTTCGACAACATTGAAGCTAAAGGTGTTACACGTAACTACAACACGAAGCCAAATGAGAAGATGCATGGGTCACTGAAAGAATCGTATTTAATGCGCACTAACTTCAGGGACATCGCACCACAGGTAACACATTTTATTCTCAATATCATTGATTCATTAATCTTAGACTGATGCTACAATATGTACAGATTCTTCGCATCAATCATTGGCAAGTGATCGCCGAGAGCATTCGCCGGAACATATCCGACTTCGATGAGTATCAATCGCAAAATGTCGACTATGTACTGGACGAAGACGATTCTTTGGTGGATGATTTAGTTATTTCGAATGACTCGCTGAAGGTACAACAATTCAGATGGTGAGTCTGAACAATGTGTTGGGTCTTGCAGAACCTAGCTGCTATTCGACCCTAAAGGGTTTCTGGACCAGGCTCAAGGCTCAGAGGAGAGGAAATATCATAAAAACTACTGAGGACTCTGACTCATACTGGTAACTGGTGAAAAGATTGATTGATTATGTAAGCTACAAAAGTGCCAACATAAGGTAAGGTAAAAACAGTCTCTACAAGCCCAACCAGAAATGAATCCCTACATCGCCTCATGTGAAGCTCAGATCCAGACAAGCTCCACAGACCTTTGAATCTCTTGAGAACGCTCACAAAAGTGACAGCACATTTACTAACTTTCGTATCAAGCTCAATGAGTTTTTGACTAACTTTTTATTAGCCATTCAACTCCCTCTACCAGGTGGAAAGCGGGTCCAACTCAAAACAAATGACAAGGTATGGTTGTTGTTCCATTTGGCTCGTGTACTGACATGAAGGGACAGATCACTGAGTGCCGTTTCTTGAAAGTTAACTACGAGTCATTGGTAGATTGGCGCCAACACACCGACTACCTTCGATGCAATCCCAAGTTCTTTGGTGCTTCACGCTTCGATTGTGCGTTCATCCAGACGACCGACAAGATCATATTTGGTCGCCTGCTCTTTGTTTTCGAATGTACACTGGACAATACAGTCCTCTCCCTCGCCCTTATTCACCCATTTGATGCTCCCACTGGCGTGTGCATCCAAAAGGACAAGCATCTCAACATCTTTCGTGTTCGAGCAAAACTCCGCGCGCAGGCCGAGTTTTTCTCAGTAAGGGCGATTATCCGTGGAGCTCTCCTAGTGCCAGATGGTGGCAACGATTTCCTTGTTGTCGATACTGTCGACACTGACATGTTCCTTCGTGTGAAGGCACTGCATCTTGAAGCAGGGCATATTGTACGCGTTTGACGCCACAGCTTGTCTTCCCCCCTTGTAAATGGTATGTCTGCTTACCAGTATTATCTTCACTCGTCAGTCTCACTAACGGTCTACTTCTGTCTTTCATGCATCCCAGGCAAGTACAATATCATTACTGCGTCCGGACACCTGTATTCCGCAAACTCCGCCTCAAGATATAACACATTTTCCTCGCCACTGACTTCCTTCATTGCATGAACACCTTCAAGACTTTATATATTATGCCTATGCCTTCTACATGTACCATCGCCCCCGATCAATATCTACTTTTGGTTAGTTCGAAGTCAACATGTCAAACAAACCCTGAGCGGATAGGTCTGCCCCAACTCGTGGAATCCTCAAGGTATACCAATCAACTTTAGGTATGTACTTCTATCGAGCTAGTTTTTTCCATTTTCCGCTTACTGTCGAATCATAGTGGTTTGCAAGCATTCATTGACGGAAAACAGACCAAGCAGACTCCTCAGGTTCTAACAGCAATCAATTAATCAGTTAGTTCGAAGTCAACATGTCAAACAAACCCTGAGCGGATAGGTCTGCCCCAACTCGTGGAATCCTCAAGGTATACCGCCACTGATCTGATCAACTTGAGGTATGTAATACTTCTATTGAGCTAGTTTTTTTCCATTTTCCGCTTACTGTAGAATCATAGCAGTTTGCAAGCATTCATCGATGGAAAACAGACCAAGCAGACTCCTCAGGTCCTAACTAATCATCCGCCAGGCACCAAATCTGTGCGTTTCGCTTTCTGATGTGCATGTAGTATTCAGGTTCACCATTCTAAAGTTTATATCTTGTGAGGGAGGCGATGACTGGTCTAATACTAAGTAAGTCGTGCCACTATCTAATATCAACATGTGCCCTTCAGTCATGCCCTTATTTACGTGCTGCACAGCAGTTTGCCACTATTACTTCAACGTCGAGCCACCATATTTGTCACTCCTCAAGACGTAATATTAAATAGTGAGGTAGGCAGCGTGTCAAATCATATATAAGGTGTGTCACACCATTTTCTCCTTCGCTGTCTTGCCACTGAACATCTAGTAGAACAATGTCTCATCTCTCAGCGCATATATCGGACAGCAACTTGGACGATGACTTTGATGAGGGTGACATCAATCGAGTCTCTATTCCAGGGCCCAATGCCTCCAAGGGAGAAGTCATGGAGGTACGTAGCAATTGATTATCATCTGAACTATGTACAACTTGATATGTTCTAGGCACTCAAAGCACTGCAGCTCAAAGTACAGTGTCTGCAGGAAGAAAACCGTGCGCTTAAGGAGAAGAACAAGATTCTACTTGCCGAGAAGCCCAAACGGAAATGCCGTGTAGAAGCACCTGACGAACTCGTTGCTCATGAGCAGACCATCTCACTGTACGCTCGTAAATATGGCATGACAGTGGAGATGTTTCCAGACAATGAACTACTCACCAAGAAGCCCCCGGATTCACCTACACCCTTCAATAGCCATGACCGTTACAGGACTGCTTCAACTCAGGAATCGGCCTTTCTAGACGAACTCTATACTCATTTCCCAGAATGCGTCCATCGAGCCATGCAGAGCGTATACTTCAAAGACCTTGTACATCACACATTTTTTTTCATTCTAACTATCATCTGATATATTCTAACTGTTGTAGGTAAACAAGTGCATCAGCGATGCTCGTTCTAACGAGATCAAAAAACTGTGTGGTGTTGCTGGGGATATATTTGACCTTCCTCCCAAGTACTTCGCCAATCCTAGCTATGACAGAGCCAGTGTTGTCAAAATTCAAAAGATGCTTGGAGTGTCTGGCAAGACACAGGCTTATAAAATCTTTCCGCCTCTTTTGTTCCCAGGTTTGCAAGAAGACACGACCCTCAAGACTGTTTTCGGCAATTGGGCGCTTTTCGCTAAGGTGCACTATCATCTGCTGCTCATATAATTGTTCTGTCGTGTACGCTACTTATTTTGGTCTATCTAGATTCTGAGAGCCTCGCTGCATGGTGTCACCTCGCTTCATCAAGAGCCTTGCGGTGGATCGAAGACTAATGCTCGCAAATGGAGCTTTCAACAAGTCACTCCAGGGTCCATCGCGTGGGCGGCAATTATTGTAAGTTGTATATATTGCATTGATTGTCTACTAATGTTTCAACATAGGCAATCTTTCTGCTCTCGCCCGACACGGAGTTTCCTGGTCTGGGAGTGGGGAAATCGTCGACTATCAATTACAAAGATCTGTTCTTTCAATATAAGAAGATGCTCATTATGAAGTGGGACACAAGACGCATCAAGAATATTGTGGCCAGTATCGACAACCACGTCTTTGGTGCCGCAAAGTTGTCCACCTTGAATCCGGCTGGTGGTGAAGACTTTTCCAATGAGATCAACCGTGCTATGCTCGCACTCGACATGGTGTCGGACAGCGAGGCAGATGAGGTTCCACCAGCCTTATCAGCGCTCTCAGCGGTTTCATCAGCACCATCTGGACCTGAAGGTCCATCTCTTGATGGAGATCTTGTCATCCAACCTGCAGAAGAAGGGTCAGTGTCTCGAGCTGCTGCTCATGTCAAAGCAGCAGACAAAGCCGATGTAGACGAAGTCAGTGGTGAGATAGGCAGGGGCCGAGGGAAGGCAAAGACTAGGGGGAAGAAGGCAGCAGCAACTCAGAGTAACATTCGTCATGGTCGTTCCCGAAAAAATTGATAGACAATAGTTACAGTTTGTGATCCTTACTTGTTGCTGTTTATGCATTGCTTGAATTCATGAAAATATCTCAATTGTTAGGAGGGCGTTGACGCAGTGAATTCAGATTTGACCGATGCTTACATAACAATGAGATTGCAAAAAAATTCAAAGACTTTAATTGTATAGCAACCACGTTACAACAGTTCTAATACAACGTCATCAACTGTAATGACAGTTACAGTTGTAACATCACTTGTCCCACCATGGCCACTTGCCACTGCATACTCAAACAGTTCCATCTTACCAGAGGCATTTGACTGGGTCATTTATTGGTAAGTGAACGTCAGTTTAAAATTCTAAGCCAACTCATCACTCACATTCTGCATAATGGTAGTGTCTGTCCCACCATTATGGCCACTTGCTGACGACGCGTACTCAAACAGTTCCATCTTATCACCGGAGAGGCATTTGACCGGGTCATCAGTGAGTGGTTCATTTTCAAGTCCAAGCCAACTTGTCGCTCACATAATTCCTGGACCACATGTATGTCCGTCCTGCCATGGTCACTTGCCGTCACGTACTCGAACAGTTCCATCTTACAAGAGAGGCATTTGACTGGGTCATTGGTGAGTGTCAGTCCATTTTTAAAGTCCAAGCCAACTCATCGCTCACATTCTGCATGCACGTTGTAGAGAATCATGCATCTCATAGTGTGATATGGCGCTTTACACTAGGGAGTATACAGCACCAACTCGCAGCATCACTCTGTGTACCATCCACAGTGATTCCTATATGACGCGCAGCTTTCCCGCGCAATGCGCGCCATGCGCGCACCATTCCCGCGCTTCACGATGTATACGCGCGCGCGCGTTCCCGCGCTTGCGCACCCTATAGCACCAGCCATCCAGATGCATCCATCCACTGTCCACCAAGCTCCCTAGTGCGTATATTTCCATTTCCTTTATTAGCATAGTTCCACCTTTATTTTTATCATAGTTTCTCACTCATATATATTTTTACATACCTACTCGGTAGCGCTTCGGCTCCGCATGAGCGCGCTTAGGCGCGCTATATAAGCGCCAGCAGTACATACTATTATTTACCTTACTTTTTCCCTTTAACTTACTAGTTATCACCCACTATTTACTTAGCAGTACATAGTAGAACTCCATTTTGTCTACACTTTGCATCTCTCTTTTCTTATATTGCATCATATTATCACTTAAGCTTAGTCTCTCTTATTACCGCTTACGCGCGCGCGCTTTCCCGCGCCTTCGTACCTTGCGTGCACCTGCGCTTTCTCGCGCTTCGCGTTGCCGCGCATACCTCTAGATCTTTGCTGTACTCACCTCCCCTTTAGGGTCGAACGCACTTGTCTCCTCAAGCAACGCAGACTAGGCAACGCGCGACCTATCAACATTTATAGATACTGCCAGGAGCATCATTTGTTCCTAGTAGTATTGTTGTTTCTACAACGTTCTGATTACAGTCCCAACATGGCCACTTGCTGCATATTACTCTAACATTTCCACCTTACCAGAGAGACATTTGACTAGGTCATTGGTGAGTAGTCCATTCAAGTCCAAGCCAACTCATCGCTCACATTCCGCATGCATGTCCGTCCCACCATGGCCACTTGCTGCGTGCTCAAACAGTTCTCTACTCCTCAACTCCACTCTCATTTCGTCACACCCGCCCACCACTCCCTTCTTAGCAGCAACTTGTGTCTCGTTTCAGGTCATTACTCAGATCTTTCCCAAAAAACACTCGACGCATCACTTTCAACCGCAGAATTTTATTCAAAGTTCCTGTTCCATGAGCTGCTATGGCCCACCCGCCCTCATGGCTCACCTTGGCAAAAAACTAACAGTCTCAACGCATAGACTGCATGCATTATGTGTGTCCTACCATAATGGCCACTTGCCGTGTAGTCGAACAGTATTATTATAAATTATTATTTGTATATTAGTATTGAAATATTAGAATTACAAATATTGAATTAAAACTGACAAATAAACATTACAATCAACTGGTTTACATTGCAACTGTCCGTTGCGGCTCCCAGCCAAACCCGCTCATTACAATAGTATTACTCACGATAAGTTTTGAACACTTCAAAAAACTCGCTAAAGCTTCAAAAAACTCGCTAAAGTCTTTAACAAACTCGCTAAAGTCTTCAACAAACTCGGCCAGAAAGCCATCAAGACACACGGCACACACGGCATCAGAGCGGACTTGGAAACACTTAGTCAAATTTTAAGGCATGTATACTACACAAAAATATATAGATGTAGCTAGGTATCTAATGAACGAGATATAACAAAAAAGAAATGTGTGATAGTGAGGGAAACACGAGATTCAGAACGGAAGTATGAGAGAGTGAGAGTGCGGGCGCATGAGCTGGGAGGTAGAGTTAGGGGATTCCGTTTGATCCGGTGTTCGAACGCTGAATGTGTGACAGCAAGGGAGACACAAGCAGTGTAAGAGGGCGGGAGCATGTGCTAGGAGATAACGAACATGTTGGGGGATTCTGTTTGATCCGGCATTCGAACGCTGGACGCGTGACAGCGAGGGACACAACAGCAGTGTGAAGGGCGGGAACATGGACACAGGTGTGTGGGGCTGGCCCGGCCGGGAGATACAACAACAGCCGGTAACAACAGACTACAAAAGAAATTCATAAGTCAGATAGCAACAGCAGCAAAAAAACGCGACAGCAGAAAGCAGCAATGATGATACAAAAATAAGCCGCTAGCGGACAGTATGATAGGAAGGGGAACAACAGCAGCAAACATGTCAGCTATCAGACGCAGAAGCGGTACTACCGCTCTGCGTCATCTGGTGAAATTGAATCTTCAGGCGCCACATCTCTGCCTCCTTGTCAAGCGCAAGGGCCTGGGCCTCGTGCACTCGGACATCTGTCTCGCGAAGGCGGATTTCCGCGTCCTTGGTCTCCTGCTCTCGTTGATGGCTGGCGGCAGCTTGCATGGCCTCATGTGCGCGCGCCTCGCGAAGATACTCGTACTTCTTCGTCTCGCGATGGTAGTCCTTCTTCACATCAAGCTTCGCGAGGAAGCGCTCGTGCTTGAGGTTATGGCGTGATGTGACGTCCAATTGAATACTCCCAATCTCACCATTGACCCTCTCAACCTGCTCCTGAATGTCGGACTTTGCTTTCTTCTTCTTCGACCCTGTGGTCTTCGGTTGCGCTGATATTGAGGTCTGGAGGGTCGGAGACGCAGGAAAATCTGACGATGAAGTGTTGTGAGTCGTCGATGAAGGTGTCGACGAGCTACGAGTCATCCCTGGCGACGACGATGCAATAGACGAAGGTCTGCGTCGTGCGTCGTAGCCAGAGGGCCCCTGAGCGCTGAATGCTGCACGGCTGTCGTAGAAAGGAGTGGGTGACTTCTGCGTGATTGAAAAAGGGATGGGGTGGTTAGGAGGAGGAGACGGCGATGATGGGAGTTGTCGTTTTTTCCCGGCAACCTTTGGAGGGCTGTTAAGGTCATAAGTAGGGTGCGGGGCATCAGTGTCCATATTGTCGTCATCCAAGTGGTCTAGTGCATTGCCCAGAGGGGCACGGAAAGCAGCGGAATATAAGTCGTCGTCGTCGTCGTCGTCAAGATCAGGAACATTGCCCATAGTGGTATCGAAGTCGGCATTTGGAGGTGCCGGAGGAGCAGGAGGAGCAGGAGGAATAGGAAGAGCAGGGAAATGAGGAAAAGCAGGAGTGGGAGCAGTGGGAGGAGCAGAAGGAAAGGGAGCAGGTGAAGGAATGGGAGCAGCGGGAGCAGGCAAAGGAATGGGAGCAGCGGGAGCAGGCAAAGGAATGGGAGCAGCGGGAGCAGGCGAAGGAACGAGAGCAGCAGGAGCAGCAGGTGCTAGCAGACGAGGATCAATTTGTGAATCAGTAAATGGGCAGCTATGAGGAGGCAGAACATGAGAGGGGGGCTGAGCCCTGGTAGCACCCCTGGTATGTGCGGAGGGGCCAGCCCTGCCACGCGGACGTACTAGCGCGTACATGTCACCAGCATGGTCAACGCCAGGCTTGGACGATGTAGTTTTTGCTGCAAAGGAGGGATTTGAGTGCCAGATGGCGTCGAGTTCCTTGTACCATGGAAATTCGCGACAGACTTCTTCTACAAATTTGAATCGGTCAAACCGCTAAACAAATAAATAAGAATGCTCACCTTGTAGATTTTTAGCGGAGGCGTCATCAAGAGGGACTACACCAGCACCGGTTGCGCTGAATTTAGCCTTAAGGGGCTTATATTTGTTTTTGAGACTAAGGATCTTATCAGCGCATAGTACAAAAAATATAAACATGACATACCTTGTGATACGGTTGTTGACAGAGTCACGAAATTTCTTCTGACTGTTTGCATATTCCAGCCCATATTTTGCGTGATGTTTGAAGATGACCTGAGCAATAACAGAGTAGATCTGAGACTTGTCCTTTCCCGAGGGACGAGCAGAAGAACTTGAATCCAGAGAGGGAGGTGGTTTCTTGCCATCAGAGTAGAATAAGATACGACAGTCGGGAGGGTGTTCGGTGAGCCAGGTGACCAAGACGTCAGTGAGAGTGTCATCACTCTGCCACTGAATCGTCAGCTTGGGTTTTGGATCGGGGGGAGGTGGTTGTATTTGAGATGTCGACGGCTCAGGATCCATCGCTCTAGAGCACACTGGAGGGTTGCCTCCAAGTCGTGCAGAACGACGGAGGCGTTGTTGGCGAACAGCAGGCA